AGCCACACCATAAGCCACTAAAACTCCTTTTTTTATTTAAAAATAGTAATTAATCAATTTTAAAAAATATTAATAAGTTCAACAATCATTTATCTTTCTAAGAATGTGCTTTTTATATCATTTATATGTATAATATGATTGCTAGATAAAATTTTATTCGATAAAACGCTGGAATCTTAATTTTTAGGCGATAGTAGAACATACCTTGCGCTTTCGCTTAAGGTATGCAAAATACTGAGTAGTAATAATATTATTAATGCCCGACAACGCAGTAAAAATAATATAGACGGTGAAACATGCAAACGTGGTAGAACCACGCTGCAGCCATATTATGGTTGTAGCACGAATAGGTCGGCTCGACTATGGTGAAACCACGCTCTCACAGAATACCGCAAAAACAACCATACGAAACACAGCAGCATAATGCTGCTGTGTTTCGGGTGTAGAAAACCGGACACCCTGTTTAGTGAAAATGGGGCATTCCCCTTGGGGTGACAATACATCTACATTTTTATTCTTAATCGAGTATAAATATAGATGTCTAAGGGCCACAGCATGCACTTACCATCAGGTGGACTGTGTGGTCATTTGTCATCCATATTCTATGAAAAAAAAACATATATACATCGACAAACATACACACATCGAATGTCAAGTACAGAACACTTTCTTAAAATAGTCGTAATCGGTTAAAAATATAGGTTGAAAGTACCAACCCTTGGTTGTAGCAAGACATGGCAAAGTAACCGTCACAAACCGTAACATCACTAGTATGGTAACTTTGCCAAGTTAGATAAATGTTAAGACCAACATGTTAAAAAGGATATATTACGTTTGATAACCATTATTATTATGTTACTACAAAGATATAAATATCCATATTCAGTGTTTCAAACAAAATCAACAAAAGTTCTGGAGTACTCAACAAAGAGGTTATTTTGCCGGCACTATTCCGCGTTTAAATAAAATTCCAAAATTAACTCTCAATTTACCATATCTAAAGCAATGCTGTCAATTAGTTATTGTATTTTCATCGAAAAAAAATGACATATCTCGAAAAATGTTACATTTTCCGTGTTAATCGTAATTTTGTACCAGTACACCCCTGGTGGCATTATTAACTTCCATTGGTAAAGTTGCCAGACTTGACTGTACCTGCAAGTTAACCGAAAATGATATCTGATGAAGCAAAGCGGAAAATCTTATCTTATCTTATCTTAAAAAAAATTAAAAAGGTAGACCCAAACACCATGTGAGAATAATAAATGCCCATGAAAGAAAGAGAAAATGCTACTGAATACTTATCCGGACAGCGTAATATTATAATCAAATCAAAATATTTACTGACTTAAAACTTCCAGACCAGTGATCATTAGTAAGATTTTTAAAGTATATGCAATACATATAATATTAGCGTAAATAATTTTCCATATTTATAAACATAATATTTGTGATGTAATAATATAACGTTTGGTTATTGTGCAAAAAGTTTCGACTAGGTGAATATTACATTTTGCTTATGTATCAGCACGGTAATAAGTTCACGAACTTGTTTTGCTAACAAGTTATCTCATGAAAGTAATAGAAGATTAAGTTTATTATGAGAAAAAATTTGGTATGACAGTTCGTGACATCGTTAAATGCTTAATTACTACATATAAAGTTTTTCACTCTATAGTAGTATTAGCCATTAAGGAGTGCAAGCCTTACTTCCACAAGTCTACAGGCCGTGTCAAGTATTTGTTTTATATATACTAACACTAATACTAACATAATATAACTAAAAACAAATACTATATACTATTTGGATACTATATCCTGTTTTATATGTATACTATTTGTAATATAATTACTATATTTATATTTCAAAAATATAAATTAATTTTTCCTCCGAACAACCTGTATACTACAACTCATCCTCATGTTATTGTTATAGAAGCGCTCGCTTCTTACTCTAAATAATATTAAAATGTTTACGCTCGAAAGACGGCGAACTGCAGTGTGCAGAAAAATCTTATATAGGTTTGTGTTACACTGTACTTATGAAATTTTTGTTGTTTTAAAGTTTTTCTTTCTTTCTTTCATATAATTAAGTAAATATTACTCAATTATATATAAAATGTAGTTGAACACTTACAAATGGATGCCGTTTATCTTAGGCAAGTTTAGTTAACTTGCCTGAAAATTTCATAGTACACGAGCACGAGCAAATCTCCATAAATTCTCGCTAAAATCAATAAAATGTTAATTGCAATTCTTGATTTTTTTTTTAATTATATAAGAGTGATCTCAGGTCAGGTCAGGCCCATCAAGTGAGCTGCAAACGTGCATGCGGCTCACCTGTTGACCGCCGCCCATAAACAACTGCAACACCAGGGGATATGCAGGTGAAATGTAAGTGGTGCTTAACCATACGCCACCGGTGATGGAGACCATCGTAAGCGAACCTGGATGTCTGAGAAATTATTAAAATATTTTGAAATCATATATCATACTACAGGATATAATCGCGGATGCTTTCCCGTCCCAAAAAACCTCCCAGTTATGAGCGGTGGCTTGTGTCCTGCCGTTTAGTGCCCAGTAACCAGTTTGTAGTTTATTTTTGGAGTTATAAATATTTTCACGACCAACCCGTTTCCATAGCTCACTTAAGTAATCCGAACGAACGGGATATGGTAACAAATTCCATAAATAATAAAGTCATGAAATGTTGGAAGGCAAGGTTCTTTTTTGTCAGAGTAGGGAATCGTACCAAAATAAGTGTATATTTTATGGTGTCAATCATGAGGGCCAATATTGTAAAGTTCAAGTTGTCGATAATAAGCATTATGCTTTGAATTAAACAAAAACCACAAAATCCCACATTGTTTTATGAAAACTAATAACAAAAAGAGTAAAAATGAAACAAGGCAAATCCGATAAGTTTTCTTTACTAATACAGCTCAAGAATGCTGTTAAATTTACGGCGAGCAATGAAATTTTAGAATCCGCGTCGCCACACCAATGAAATTGTTATTTGCAATTTGAAGTGCTGATTTTACCAAGTGGTTAACGACGAAAGAAAACACGTGAAAAATATCACCGCAGCACGAACTTGAGCAGCGCTGTGGGTTTAATGTTATAATGCTCTATGGCCTGAAATTATCTTATTTCTATAAGAAGAGGCCTGTGGCCAGCCGTGGAACGAACATGGACTCCTACTTTACTTTAATTTTATACCATATTATCAATATTTGCGACTTTGTATATATAATGAAGAATTTAAATTGTAAAGCGTTTTCATTTTGGATTAACACAAGATAATGTTTTTTATAATTTTGAAATTATGGTTCAATTCCCTAACACCCTACTTACGTTAATATCTTAAAAAATAATACCGCAAGTTAATAGTAACTTCCCATTTTATTCCCCAAAACGAATTCCAAATGTCGAAAATTGAATATGCTTATTTGGGTAACATATAATTATGGGCATTATAACTATGCCATATTTTAATAATTGTCTCTAACAAGATAATTTAGGACAGACAACGATGTGAACCTAAAAGTAATATAAAAGTACCAGTCCAGTGTCGTAAATTTGAAATAAATTTTTGTACATAATAGATTATTGTGAAAAGCTATAACAATTTAAATGAATATTTTAATGATAAATTATAAATCAATTTTTATTATTTTACCTAGTTTATTATTTCTATTTATTTATTTTACATTGTTAATATTTTCAAATCTTATTTATAAGAATGACATATGATCAACAGTTGACATATATAATATGTATTGAAATTTAATCTTAAAATATATGTGTGTGTGTATTATTTAGTTTGACATCTTAAAAATTAATTTATAATCTTTATATATAAAAATTACGTGTCACGTTGTTTGTCCGCGATGAACTCCTGAACTACTGAACTGATTTCAATGAAATTTGCACACTCTGTGCAGTTTGGTCCAACTTGAGAGATGGGATAGTTTTTATCCTAATAAGGACACTCAACATTTTTTTTATTACGAATTTAAGGATTTTTATATGAAGGGTCGTCGAAAAGGGCAGAACAACGTCTGCCTGGCCAACTAGTAATCTATATATTTGATACTATAAATATTGCAATTTAATTTTATTCTATTGGCTCGTGCAGGTTGTCACATGCTCTATAAATATATTGTAACAACTTTATACTTTGTAACATGTAATAAATGAATTATGAGTTATAAGTGTTCCGTTTTACAAATTTCAGCGTTTAAACGCCAATAATGTTGTTAAAGAGATGTTCCATTCTAAAACGAAGTGAAAAACTAGTTAGTATATAAATGTGTACTATTACTATTCGATATACAAAACTTCATTTCGGCAGATGAATTATATTGTTGCTTACTTGTTTAAATATAGGAGTAAGCATATTTAATATCTTATAACGTTGCAGTTGCTCCGAAACCACCTCTCCAAAATATATACTACACATACAACTAAAGGTAAATTAAGAGCCCTTATGTTGAAGTTGGGTTCATGTTGTCAAGGACAAAATCAACATTTACTAATATAACAGCGCACATGTTTGAAGTAACCCTGAATTTATAATAAGCTATGGTAAACATTGAATAAAACCAACCGTACAGGTTAAGCGACATAGACGATAAGCGATTTATTTTAGTTCGACATTTTAAGTGATTTACTGCAACATAGTCATGCAAGAAAGAACTAAGGTGTTTAACTTCCTCATGTTATTTAACAATAACAGCCAGGCTAGCATTGGCTTTTCATGACTAAATAGTAATGAACCGTAAATTAACAAAGTTCATTCTGTGTAGATGGTTCAATTTACACAGAATGAACTTTGTTAATTTGTGTGTATTTTAAAGAAATTACTTTTAGTGCTTAAATTAAGTTTTATTAATTTTTTTGTTTTCACGTAAATATAAGAAATCATTTAATTATGGTTTGACAGATTGAACAACATAACTATTTACAAAATACTAAAAAGATATATTGAAACGACTTACCTATAGTAGTTAGCGCCAATGTACACCAGTAATAACTCTGAAGATACTGTTTCACAACATCTGCAGTTTCTGTATCATGGTACACCCAATTTTTACTACCAAAACCATTGTTTTTATATATAATATGGTACAAGCACCCATTCCAGTGGAATATCACTAACAAATAATGAATTAAACTGGTCGATCTAAATAGATTAGGATAGTTTGTGTGACGTTCTGTACGATCCATGAACGCCCAGAAACGGTAGATCTTCACTAGCCGGAACGAGCGCAATATGGAGTTGAACCCGATGGAGAGATAAAGAAAGTCAAGCGGCAACAAACACAAACAGTCTATGTAGAATGTAGTAGAGTTCATATAATGCGCACGTAACTTTGCAGCGTCTGTTTGTAACACGCCATCTTCCAGGTAACCCGTTCGAAAATGAAATAAAATGTCCGCGAGATAAAGAAAATCCGAAAAGTAATCTAAGCAGAACCACACTATTAGCGTTTCACCTGAAACAAAAAAAGTAACATTAGTTTGTTGAAGTTAGCGCGCGTCAAAAAAAATTATCATTTGTGCAAAAACAAAACACTTGGGCATCTTAAATAATTCTTGGATAAATTAAAAACAATAAAAGAAATATTACGTGTTGAAAAAGACTAACTTATAAAACATTAATTAAACAAAACAAAAGCCAGCGGTGAAATATCAAGAAGTATCTTTCAAAATATTGCATTCTCTTCAACGCAAGACATATAACTTAGAAAAGCTATTTACGTAAGTAATTTAATACTCGGCGGAACAAGTTGAGGAAAACTATGCACAGAGTGCGCTAAGTCGTTGCAGCCAGATCGTTGCTACTAATCTAGGTTGCTATCTTAAGTGGATGCGTCTTTAGCATAAGAACGGAAGTCAAAATTGGATTTTTATCTACTTAAGTTTTCCTTTCAAGTTCAGTTAATATGAACTATTAACTTGCATTTTAGGCATCTCTTATTAAGTAATGAAATAAAAAAATTATTACGTAACTATTGTTCTTAATAGGATAGTTTAAAATAAAATTAAAAAATAATATAGGTTAAAGCAAACCCATATTATAATTTATTTTTAATATTATTAACTTACCTACATATTATTATATTTTTGTTAGTATTTATGTATGTACATAAATGCATATTTTTAGTCTAACAATTTCAAGTCTTCTCAATATGCGTGTGTTTTAGGTTTCCAGGTTTAATCATCGTTGATGGCAACCAGATCTCCACCAGAGATTCTTCGAACCCTACTACTAACCTACTAATTCCAACTTAATGCGTATTTTTGTACCTCTACAGGGGGATATGTCATAGTCGCTACGGCTGGCAATCGCATTTTCTGAAGTTTTCGAGTGGCAACCTTCTACTGGCAAGTGTGGTATCTGGCGGCTACCACTAACTGGAGTAAGACCTGATGAAACACGCAGTTAGTCAATGTACCTTATAGCAATATACGGGGTAGCCTATGCTTAGCAGTGGACTTGTGATGGGCTGTGTTGATAGTGAGTTTTTATTTATTTCGAACACATATTTTACATCTAAAAATATACGTAAAAAATTAATATATTAAAAAACACATACCATTGATCTCTTGGAAGGCGAACCTATAGACGATGACCCATAAATTGTACAGAAAGGCGAGAGAAACAACCATGGACCAATAGTAGCAGAGCCGGCCAGCAGGGTCGAACACGAAGGACCAGTGTGGCCCGGAGCGTAACCGCCCACTGGTGTAAGTAGAACGTCTCCTCAGGCCTCCTCTGCTACCACTGCGCAGAAAAACACAGTAAAAACAACAAAGTTTTACCCAAACAATACCAGCACACAAACTTTTCGTATGCATTGAATTTAATCTACAGTAGTTTTGTTAATCTGCTTTCTGACTCACTCTTTGTGCCATAACGAACCAACTTGTGCTAGATTAAATGGACAACTTTTAAATAGACGTCCGTTTATACAGAAAACATATTATGTAGTAAGCAAAAGTTTAAAATGTGAATCGGGTAAAAGCACAAAGAGAGTCTGTTTAATATTTAACTAGGTATTAGTTTCATTTTTACCATAAAAGAATGTAATCAAGGCTTTTTAATAAATATATTTTCAAAGGAATTGAAGTTCAAAATGCATTTTTTATAAGAGAGGGTCAAACGAGCATGCGGCTCACCTGATGGTAAGTCACTACGAAGGTCCCTAAGTCGTATAGGATGTGTATGTATGTGTGTGTGTGTGTGTGTGCGTGTGTGTGTGTGTGTGTGTGTGTGTGTGTGTGTGTGTGTTCCTAAAATGTGTTCCTAAAATTTGAAGCAATATCATATCTGCACATTATAAGATCTAAAGCAGTACAATTTAAAACCAGTTCCGTAGTATTTAGAAACCTTAGTATATTTTAAAAGGTATACACCAACTATTCTCCTCGTGTCTACTTCATATCCTCTAGCAGCCAACTGCCATGGCAACCAACTGGCAAACCAGGACAACCGATTGGCAGCCCCATTTGCATCTACCAACTTTGTCAACGGGAGTGACGCGTTCTTGTAAAGACCTATGTACAGCAGTGAACAGAAAAGGCCGTTGACGGATTTGGTTCAGCGTTTTTGGATGAATTGTTCATCGTTGGAGTCTCGTCCGTAAATCAGTAAGCAGCACGAAAAACACATCCGGATAATATATCTTCTTATTTCCCTGCGACAACTTGTGTAATAAAAATATAAAAAATTATAAAAACCGAAACATTTATATCGAAAACGGAAGAAGCATTCTCGCCGACATCCAGAGCCACTGCTGACACGGGCCTCTCCAGTTATAAAGAGTATTTTCCTTAATCGACACGCTTTGCGATTGAAGTATCGTTAGAAGTAGGTATCGTGCCTTTGAAGTAGTATACGGTCGCCGGTGTTTTACGTCTGGTGAAAACGAAATGGTTATACCGCCACATATCGGAAGTCATGAGATCTTTCTGGCATTTGAAAATACTAAATCCCAATTATCTCGGTCCAAATACAACCACTCATACTATGGACGTGCTATGAACGTATTAAGCACGAATTAGTTGTCGGTTCGATCATAGGAGGCCACGGTATTGGTCGGTGACTAACGTAGTGATTATTATATGCTCTTTGTTAGGTGAAACTGTCTAATAGAGGTTGTTGCATATTAATTTATACAAAGAGTATTATTATGCATGTGCCGAAATGGTTAAGGCCGTGTATATAATGTTATATAGAGACATACAGTCCGTATTCAATCAAAATTGTCAGTGTATTTTTATTTCTTACTAGCTGTTCCTCGCGACTTCGCCCGCGTAGAATTTACTACGATTTTATGGATTTTAATTTTTTTACGCGGAACCCTAATTCTTTTTCTAAAATAAAAGTATCCTAGGTAACTCCTTATAACATCAGCTATCTGCCAGTGAAAGTCTTGTTAAAATCGGTCTAGCCGTTTCGGAGATTAGCCGGAACAAACAGACAGACAGAGAGACAAAAATTTAAAAAATTGTTTTTTGTTATTGGTACTATATATACTTTCATATGCATTTAGTAAAAAGCTGTTATTTTAACATTACAAACAGACTCTTCAATTTTATTTATTTGTATAGATTAGATAGATTATAACCATTATCCACCCATTACAGCCTGCAAAAGTCCACTACTGAACATAGGGCTCCTTCATAGATTATATTATATTCATAGATTATATTCATAGATTACCTCATGGGGAGATTTTGCTATAGTTGCCTCGCTTTTTAAGTGGGTTGGCAACCGCAGTTTTTATTATTTTAAGTTCCTATAAGGAAGATGCTGCTGTCCATCTCTTGTTTCATTTCCGTCTGTCGTCTCTTACGACATCCTCATAACGATATGGATTAGTGGATATACATATGTTGTTACACCGCCACTACACGGTTAACTTATTATAACGTTCATAAAAAAATGTTGTTATTGAAATCAATTACTTACTGTAATTACATTTCGACAAATCTATTTTCATTATTTTCTTTTTTGATTGACTTCGCTCGCATATAGAATAAAGTATATTTGCTATATTATATGTTTTTTTATAAGCTATCGGACAATTTATTTCATTGGGACGTGACTATAGAAAGGGAGTTTTATGAAGTAAATAACGTGCATTGTCTTGGAACAATAACATTACGAGTATTCAGGTACAAAAGTAAATATTATGTTGTATTGTTAAAGAATATCGTAATATAAACTGCCAATCATTACCTATCTTTGATAATAATAATGAGCATTGCTAAGCTAATAAGATAGTTGACTAATATTATAAAAGTAAATGTAATATTAATTTACCGGCATTTTTATTACTTTTATTCAGCTTTTACTATAAAAATTTTTCTAAAAGAATCTGAATTATATATTCAGAATTAATAATCGGGGCCATAACAATTACAATGCTGTAATATTATGACCTTATTTACAGGCAATATCAACAATTTATATTTTATTATCGAGTATCCTGAGAATGTGAAAACTGAGCCTGAAGTTTCTTTGCATTTCGTTGAGACTTATGAAATATTCGCAGTAGAACCGTATTAATCTACGTAGCGCAACGGATCAGCAAACTGAAGTGCATTGGACTGGCCATATAGCTTGAAGAACCGAAAACCAATGGCGAAGAAAGGTTCTCGAGTGGCAGCCTCGTTCCAGTAAGCAAAGTGTACGGCAGGGAGGCTGAGGCGACTAGATGGAGTGACGACCTGGTAAGAAATGCGTAAAGTCGGTGCATGTAGGTGGATCTGGACCGTGCTTTATGGTATTATACCTTGGGTTGGGTACATATTCAGCAGTGGACTTGTGATAGGATGCAATGACATTGATGAGGATGATAATATATAAAATATGTCTCAAATTATTAGATCGCATTTAACACTAAATAACTTCATAAAAAAAGTATATAATACAAGTCTGAAAAATTATAATTTATTTTTAAAAGCTGTGATATATTATGGTAAAGTAATAACGGCTCTTATTCTGTGACTCGCAAATATATATGTATAATGTAGTTAGTTACATAAGTCATTTCGAACGACTAAAGAGTTAATATTTAAACAGTTTCGCGTCTAAATTATTGAATCCGTATTTAGCACCTGTGTTCAATCCGCAAGCCTCTCGGGCCTCTATATCCAATTAATCTAACGGAAACTCGACGGAAGGAGCCACGCCACTAGATTGTGGTGCCAGCAATGCCAGATTAATTATCTACGGTTAGTGAGATTTCAATAGGTTCAAAATAACATCTGTGCATTCTCTATAGGAACTCTAACGTAAGTTAACATTAATGTTACAATTTAATACATATAAGGCTCGATTTTCATATTATCTTACAATAATACTATGCATAGAGGTGAACGGCATAGTCGGGAAGGGTCGCCCTAGGCAAATTGGCGATATATTAAAAATGGGCCAAATCAAGAGTACCTTTAACCGATGAGCGTGTATGCGTAGGTATATGGATGTGGAGGAAGCGAGAGAGGTGTGTCAGGATCGTGCCAAATGGAAGTCCATAATCTCTGCCTACCCCTCTGGGAGACAGGCGTGAGTGTTTATGTTATGTTATGTAATACTATGCATAATATAATAAATGTGTAGAAAAGTTGTGTTTGCAAAACTTATATTTCCTAGAAAAGCAAAAAAAATCAGTCTAGTCAAATCTCATGCAGTCTGTATATTCACGATTCACTTAAAAACTTTTAGACGGATATCAAGTAAATTTGCGTGACGAAAAGGAACATAGTGGTTACTTTTTAATCGATGGCGGATCTGAAAAAGGAGGGATATGTCTTTCTTTTTTTTAAAAGATAAACAATAAAGTTAAACAACAACAAATGAAAATAACGTAAAGAGCTTTTTAAAATATAGTACCTAGCGCCGAACTTTTCTTGGCTTTAGTCAAAAAGCTATAATTTTCTCAGGGATGACACCTATCAAGCTAAACTTGAAAAGCAAAAAATTATCTTGATATTTTTTTTATGGGAGACGCAAACGGGCATGCGGCTCACCTGATGGTAACTGACTACCGCCGCCCATGAACAACTGCAACACCAGGGGAACCAGGGGAATTGCAGATGCGTTGCCGGCTTTTTAATAAGGAGTAGGTTATTTTCTTGATTTTTTTTAAAATCAACCAAATTTTAAGAGCTGTTTGTGAAATATAATTTGAATACCTATGTAATACAAAACTTGTTCGCTTAAAGTGCAAAAATACTATATACGGATAAAGAGTGGGATTAGAAATGGCGGCTCATCGAGCCCGTACCGTCAACATGCACAGATATAGTACCAATAGCTAAACTAGTGTATTAGCTTATTATATAACTTATTAGCTAGTTTTCGCTCTTATAGGTATATTGTTATATATATTATTCGGTTGGTTGGAATTTTTATATTAATGAGAAAATATATGAAAAGAATTGTATACGCAAGTCGTAGAACGACGACGACGCTGACGATGACGTTAACAATGACGATGACGATAACGATGACCGTGACGATGATCACGATAATTATCATGACGATGATCATGATGCGACGATGACGATGCCCATGACGATATTCGTAACGATTATCATGACGATGACGATGGCGATAATCATGACGATGATCTTGACGATGATGATGACGAGGACAATAATCATAATGAGGATCATGACAATGAATATGACGTTGACAATGACCATGACGATGACGTATTTTTGACGATGACGACAACGAAGACGTTGACGATGAAGATGACCATGACAATGACC